TATTTCTTTAGTTTTTTTAAGGTGAAAATACTTGCAATCAAAAAAATATAAAGTGAGCACTGTACACTTAGTATTCTGTGTTGTAATTGAAATCAATATATTTGAAAAACGTAGAAAACATCCAAAAATATTTAAATGGTATTCTATTATGGTTTAATCGCGCCATTAATTTTTTTTTAATTGCACGATTAATGGCAATTAATTTTTTTAATTGCTTGACAGCCCTAGCTTCTATATATTTGCAGTTAACTACTCTATTGCTACTGTTCTACTCCAATAGGGACCAACATATCAATTTAAATAAATAAATAAATAAATAAATAATAAAAACAGATTTTTCTGCAGACATGCTTGAATAAAAAAATTAAAACAATTAGACACCAGAATAATACTATCCAAATTAAGGAAGAAAACGAGCATACAAATAAGAAGTTTTGGGAAAACTGATTACTGAAGAAATTTCTCTCTGCTGTTATCAACCCTAGTGGAATTGTGTCTCCCTTCAATTACCTGACAATGAACCGAGCAGGAAAAAGGAGACAAAGGGGCGAAACAGGAAAGGGCATAGCAGCACTGTTCACGTTCATGAGATTTTCGAATTGTAAAGCACTTGAACTAATAAGACTTCAGTTTACAAGTTACTGAGGGAAAAAGGAAGAAAGTATGAAAAAAGGGTGACAATTGGCTGAGGTCATATCCCCATAGGATGAGGATGACAAAATTCTACCCAGTTGTTCACAGCACAGCAGAAGTGCAACAGAAAAGGAGGTATAGAGAGCATTACCAATCACACATGTCCTAGGAGAGAGAAAGTTACATAACACTCTGATCTACTTATGGGTCTTAGTTTGCAACTCTCCCCCTCCCCTGATGTATTTGCAAATACAACCATTAAAACACTGCAATTTAACATTTTAAAAATATATTTGAATTTTTATCCAAAAATGGTAGAGAAAGTTTTGTTCTTTTAATATTTTGAATCTTCAATAAATTCTGTCAAAGAAATAAAGCAAGGAAATGTTGGAGTCAAAGTTCTTACGCAGAACAGTGTGTGTTGAGTTAAAATTTTAACGTAATGTTCATTAAACTGAACAAACATGATCTTTTTGAAAAACTTTTTACCGGAAGTTGATGATCTACTTCCTCAAAAGCCATAAAAGTATTAATTATTCAGTCAACAATAGTAGGAGAATTAATTCATCATCCTGATGTATTTACCAGAAAAGATATCCTGGAGTCACAGCAAGAGGAAAGGTTGGGGAGAAAACAGCTCAAAGAGCTGGAGAGGGAGAAAAGAAAAGAAATCCATATTTGCTATTATCATACCAGAAAAAAAGATACACACAATGCAGTTATGGTACTGGTTGGATTTAATGAGCTTAGCAATAGGGAGTGGGAGGCTCACAAAACCAAGTATTAGAAATGCCTATTACCATCTTCAAAATAAGATTATGTGCTGTCATGGCAAGGTGCTAATATTGTACAGTGAATCTAAAACAGTTTTGGTTCTTCCACCCTTTGGAGCCATTACAGTATGTACACAATTGTATGAGAATCCAGTTGATAGTGTCAGGTCTGCATGCTGATGGACAGGATAAAATATGACTGAAACAGTCATGGTCCTTCCTATGATACAATAGACCTTTCAAAATGAGCTCTTGTTGGCATATACTGCAAGTTAAGCATGTTAGTCTCACTGTGACCTAATCCAAGTTCAGTGCACACTATTTTAATGTAAAAAAGTTGAATGAAGTTAATAGCAAATATTGCTATAATTACAAAATTCATTTACATTAACCTTTATGTAGTCATTTTCAGGTAATTTATGTGGTGAGCTATTTGAACTACGTCTTGCGTTTATTTCAAGTTCACTTCTAGGAACTCCACCCAAAAGGGCACTCATCCAAAAATCTGGGCACTTTATTCATATTTAAAAAACAAAAGGACATGCAAAACAAGCTGACTAATGCTTCTTCCTTCCATCATACACACATCAATCAAATGAATTAAAAATTTTATTAAGATGATGTTAAAAAAAAGTGAACAGAGTTTGAGCATAGAAGTTTCTGGTTATCAGGGAATAACGTACAGATTATCGAGGGTGCAAAGTTTGGTTTAAGATCAGGTGGCATAAGGAATACATAATCTGCAATATCCCCGATTGGGGGTAAAAGGTTGATGGGTCAAAGTACAGGTATTGAGATATGAGGGTATGAAGTTCATAGAGTGGCTATGTTCGGGTGTGGGGTATAATGAGTGGATATGATGATGAGGATGGATTGACCCTCATTTGGTGATATTTAATGTTCAGCGAGTTTATGGTACCAATTCATATGATCCAACGGAGAAGGTAACTTGGTCCCTTTCTCGTAGTGGGAGAACGATGTCACTCTGGCTTAATACAACTTCAAACTCCTACCATACGAATTACACTTTCAACAACTTCCGCCCTCTGCCAATTCTGCTCAGATGGGCTTTACAGTATGCCAAGAAGGTTGTTTCAGACCTTGGAGCAATGGGGTATTTCAGAAGGAAGGTGCCAATATGAAGAACTCTCTACCAGCAGCCCTCTCCCCTTTTTATAACTAGGTGGATCAAAATGCAAGGCCTTTGTTGAATATAAAAAAAGGCCATAGTGGGTCAAACCAAAGGTCCATTTAGTCAAGTAGCCGGTCTTCTGACAGTGGCCCATGCTAGACCAATTAATTCCCTTTGACACAATAGGGCAATCATCAAGTGATCCAACCCAACATCCAGTCCCAGCATCAAAGGCTTAGGGACATTCAGAGCAGGATATTGCCCCCCGACCATCTTGGCTAATAGCCATTGATGGACCTATCCTCCATGAACTCATGTAATTCTTTTTTTAATCCAGTTATAGTTTTGGCCTTCACGACATCCCCTGGCAACAAGTTCCACAGGTTGACCGTGCATTGTGTAAAGACTTCCTTTTGTTTGTTTTAAACCTGCTGTCTGTTAGTTTCACTGGGTAATCCCTGGTTCTTATGTTACATGGAGGGGTAACTAACACTTCATTATTCACTTTTTCCACACCATTCGTGATTTTAGACCTCTATGATATACCCCCCCTTAGTCCTTTCTTTTCCAAGAAGAATAGTCCCAGTCTTTTTAATCTCTCCTCATATGCATTGCAACTTTAGTAATACAGCAAAGAGAGAGAGTTTCTCAGGTAGGCAGTTCCAAAAGAGTTTAATGTTCTATAGGTCAAAGATAAAACCTTGAATTCCACCTGAAAACCAAGAGGCAGCCAGTGCAAATCAAAGAGCATTGTTAACGTAGTTGCCTCTTGGTTGCAGTGTATTTAAGCAAGCAGGCTGCCATAATTTGGGCCATTTCAAATTCTTTAGAATGATTTAAGGTGTAGCCATGGAATACACTGCAATAATCCAATCTCGATGTGACAAAGGCATCAATCACAGAAGCAAGGGCTATGTCAGAAAGAAACAGACTACTGGCAAAGTACAGATGGTAAAAACGTTCCAGGACACTGCTGCAGTATGATTATTCAAGAGCAGATGGGGATCCAGCACTGTCCCCAGTTTAAGCACTCAAGTAACACGTGAAAGACACCCCATCTATCAAAGGGAGAGTTAACAACTACCCCATTGTGGGTTCTGAACAAATAGTTTTTTAGGATTCTAAAAAAGTTATCTCAACACAAATACCTACATTTATTTTGAATTGCAAACAATGCAGCAGAAATGTTTACATCCAAATAGGTTCTGAGCTCCAGAAAGACTAGGAAATTGACTAAATTTAAGTGAAACTGACTAGTTTGTTTTCATTATTTACTTCTGAGTTTGGACAACAAGTGAGTTAGTTACAATTAATATTAATAAAATATAATTATGACTCATCAAACAAATTAACCTTTTTTAACATTATGGTCCTTTAAAAATATGATTAAAAGCCACAAAAAATAAGGAAGTTATTGGGTAAGGCTAAAACTTCAGGCTTGCTCTTACTCACTCTTGCGACTATTGCTGAGCCTACATTTTACAAACGTAGCGTATGTGATGTTAAATATAAGTACTGGGACTAGACACAATACAATCAATTCAGGATGGAGTGTCACCACTGACAATGTACTGTTTTGGGGAAGGGAAAAACAACACAGTGAGAAAGGTATATTTAATCTAGAAGCAACTGAACGTGATTCTTTGAAAATCTGGAGAATAGTTCTCCCAATGAGACTATATACAACAAATTATATCCCCAAACCAGGTAACTACAGATTGCCCAGAAAAGGATTTAAGAAAAGAAACACAGATTCACTCCAGCCCACATATGAAGGAAGGAAGGCCGGACTGGGGAAATTCCCCTGCCCCTTTTCCTTTCCCTTCCATGTTTTCAATGCCGGGCAGATGTAAAAATAAGTCATTAATTTAAGATTCACTCCTTTGGATAAATCTTTGTCGAGCAATGATTGGAGACATTGGTCTGTGATTTAACTTTCAGAAGCGCTGAAGCCACCCTCCCCTTCCCCCACAACTCTCCAAAAATCAGGCTGTTCAGGGGCCAGGAGGAGGGTTGGGCGAGGACGACCTACGTGCCAGGCACTCGGCCGCCGGGGCACGAGAGGGGATCAAGGTTAAGCGCTGCGGAGCCATTTCGCTAAGGCCTCCAAGCGTCCCACCCTCGCGGAAGCTGTGAAGTAACCACCCCTGACCCCGATACAGCCACCACAACAAGCCGGGCTCCCCGGCTCCCCTCCCGCGTCAGCGTCCCGGCAGCAAAACAACACAGCAACGAGACTGACCCAGGCCGGCTCCTCCGTGACAGCCATGGGGCGGAAGCTCCACGTCCCTCCACACCCGGGGCAGAGAGGCTCGGGCGGGATCCGAGCTCCCCGGCTCCGGCCACAGGCCCCGCAGCCGGGGAAGTGGCCGCGGTGAGCTCCCCCCGCGCCGGCTCCGCAGAGCCGCCTGGGCCGCAGCGGGGATCCCCGCGCGGCGGAAGGAGCCGGCCCGGCCACTCACCACTTGGTAGCGGCTGGCGGGCTGGTGGTGATCCATCCCGGCCGCCCGCGGACAGACAGTGGCGCGGCCCAACCCCGGCTCCTCCGCGCCCGCTCGCTGGCTCGTTCTCCCCTCGCGGCTACCGCCCTGCTTCAGCGGCTGGGCCCTGCCTTTCCCCACCGGATGCGGCTGCCTCTGAACCGGAGCCGGCCTCCTCGCTCCGTCACCGCCCGCCCCGGACTCGGACCCGCCTCCCGGGGGTGGGGCGCGCCAGCCACTTCCCTGCGGAGGAGCACGAAGGTGAGGGCGTCGCCCGTGACGTACATAATAAAGCGGGGGGGTGCACGTCGGGGCCCAGCCCGTGTTACACACCAACACACCTGTGCACCTCACACCCCTGTACCCGGCGGGCCCCTCACAAGCCCCCTGTGCCCTTCCCAGTCCCTTACACGCCCCTGGGCGCCCCCTTACGCACACACCCCACTGGGCCCCAGGCCAGCTCCCATTGTAGGACTGATTTCTTTCCCTTAACTTCTCTAAAAGAAAGCCCTGTTCCAGACATTTTAACTTTTACATCTTACCCCAGCGTAGGATTCTTCTGGGATGTCTGCTTTTAAAAATAATAATAATAATAATAATAAAAAAAACAGAAGAGGAGTTTTAAATTGATGTTTTGAAAATTGTATCTGAACTTCACTTTTGACATTTTTTCTAACTCTTTTGTAGGGCTGTCAAGCAATTAAAAAAATAATCGTGATTAACTGCACTGTTAAACAATAATAAAATACCATTTATTTAAATATTTTTGGATGTTTTCTACATTTTCAAATATAATTACCAGTATTTCAATTCAACACAGAATAAAAAGTGTACAGTGCTCACTTTATATTTATTTTTTATTACAAGTATTTGCACTGTAAAAAAAATAAAAGAAATAGTATTTTTCAATTCACCTAATACAAGTACTGTAGTACAATCTCTTTATCATGAAAGTTGAACTTACAAATGTAGAATTATGTAAAAAACTGCATTCAAAAATAAAACAATGTAAAATTTTAGAGCCTGCAAGTCCACTCAGTCCTACTTCTTGTTCAGCCAATCACTCAGACAAACAAGTTTGTTTGCATTTGCAGGAGATAATGTTGCCCGCTTCTTGTTTACAATGTCACCTGAAAGTGAGAACAGGCATTCTCATGGCACGGTTGCAGCTGGTGTCGCCAGGTATTTACGTGCCAGATGCGCTAAAGATTCATATGTCCCTTCATCCTTTAACCACCATTCCAGGGGACATGCATCCATGCTGATGACGGGTTCCGCTTGATAACAATCCAAAGCAGTGCAGACTGTTGCACGTTCATTTTCATTATCTGAGTCGATGTCACCAGCAGAAGGTTGATTTTCTTTTTTGGTGGTTTGGGTTCTGTAGTTTCTGCATCGGAGTGTTGCTCTTTTAAGACTTCTGAAAGCATGCTCCACACCTCGTCCCTCTCAGATTTTGGAAGGCACTTCAAATTCTTAAACCTTGGGTGGAGTGTAGTAGCTATCTTTAGAAATCTCACATTAGTACCTTCTTTGCATTTTGTGAAATCTGCAGTGAAAGTGTTCTTAAAATGAACAACATGTACTGGGTCATCATCCGAGACTGCTATAACATGAAATATAAGGCAGAATGCAGGTAAAACAGAGCCAGAGACATACAATTCTCCCCCAAGGAGTTCAGTCACAAATTTAATTAACACATTATTTTTTTAATGAGTGTCATCAGCATGGAAGCATGTCCTCAGGAATGGTGGTCAAAGCATGAAGGGGCATATGAATGTTTAGCATATCTGGTATGTGAATAACTTGCAACGCCAGCTACAACAGTGCCATGCGAATGCCTGGTCTCATTTTCTGGTGACCTAAATAAGAAGAGGGCAGGATTATCTCCTGTAAATGTAAACAAACTTGTTTGTCTTACCGATTGACTGAAGAAGAAGTAAGACTGAGTGGACTTGTAGGCGCTGAAGTTTTACATTGTTTTGTTTTTGAATGCAGTTATGTAACAAAAAAAATCTATTTTTATAAGTTGCAATTTCACTACAAAGAGATTGTACTACAGTACTTGTATGAGGTGAATTGAAAAATACTATTTCTTTTGTTTATCATTTTTACAATGCAAATATTTGTAATAAAATAATATGAACTTTGATTTCAGTTACAACACACAATACAATATATATGAAAATGTAGATAAACATCCACAATATTTAATAAATTTCAATTGGTATTTTATCAACAGTGCGATTAAAAGTGCAATTAATCGCGATTAATTTTTTTGAGTTAATCATGTGAGTTAATTGCGATTAATCGACAGCCCTACTCTTTTGGCTTCTTTAGATCTCCAAAGCAGCATGGCCTAGAAACTCCAAATATGGGGCCCAATTCTGCACACTGCTTCCATGGAGCATAGCTATTACTTCAGTAGGGCTCTGTGTGGTGGAAGGGTCCACTCAAGCAGAGCTGCTTACAGGATCAGTTGGGGCTTTGTTGTGTTGGCCTTGGTGAGAAGTGACTTTTAGTATTCTTATTTTGGTTTTGCAGGGAGGAGGGGACAATAGAGCAGAACCAGGGAGTGTTTCCTGGGGAAATTCAAAAGTAATATATAAAAAGTTTAGATACATACACACACAGTGTAAAATTTATATTAAAATGTGTGATACCCTAAGCCAGTGGTTTTCAAACTTTTTTTCTGGCAACCTAGTTGAAGAAAATTGTTGATGCCCGCGACCCAAAGGAGCTGGGAATGAGGGATTTGGGCTGTAGGAGGGGCTCAGGGCTAGGGCAGAGGGTTGGGGTTATGGGGGTGAGGGCTGCAGGGTGGGGACAGGAATGAGGTGTTTGGGGTGCAGAAGAGGGCTCTGGGTGTGATGGTGCACCCCATAAGGCTTTATGGAAATATGCTTCTGAATGTATATATGACATAACTGGAATATGTTTTATGCTACATATGCCATGTAACATATCTCTGTAAAGGTTATGATCTACTGAATCTATTCATCCTCTTTGTATGTATGTGTCATTGTTGTATTCAAAGTTATGAATATTGGCTGTGTACTTGCTTGATTTCTAAGGCCTTGGCTACACTGGCGCTTTACAGCGCTGCAACTTTCTCGCTCAGGGGTGTGAAAAAACACCTCCATGAGCGCAGCAAGTTACAGCACTGTAAAGCGCCAGTGTAAACAGTGCCCCAGCGCCGTGCTCCCAGCGCTGTAAGCTAATCCCCTCGGGGAGGTGGAGTACCTGCAGCACTGGGAGAGCTCTCTCCCAGCGCTGGCGCCGCGACCACACTCGCACTTCAAAGTGCTGCCGCGGGAGCGCTCCCGCGGCAGCGCTTTGGAGTTTCGAGTGTAGCCAAGCCCTAAGTAGCCTTAGTAAAGCATTTGGTCAGCTTCTTGAGAAAGGAATGTGCAAATTAAGTGCCCAATCAAGAAATACTTAATGGACAATGAATCTTGGAAGGCTCCAATCAACATAAGAAGTCTACCTGAGGACATTCAGGGTAGCATGTAAACAATGACTGCTGCCTGTAAAAACTGAGTCATGCATGGACATGTGACTTGCCCATTTGACTCCAAAACTCCATCTTGGAGCTGGATTTTGCATAGGAGAGAGGAGGAGGTCTCTACTCACAAGCGAAAGTCTATTTAAACCCCTGGGAGACCCCTCCATTTTGTCTTCAGCTGGCTAAAGAGATAGCCTTTCCACCCCCAAGGATATCTGAAAGAAACTGGAACAAAGGACAGTAACTACAGGGGGTGTGAGTGATTGCTGGACCCAGACTAGAAGGAGACTAGTCTGTAAAAGGAAGCTTACTGGAATTCCTCTGAGGGTGAGTTTTTTATCTGTATTCAGTTTTCTTATTGTATTAGACATAGACTTGCGTATTCTATTTTATTTTGCTTGGCAGTTCACTTTGTTCTGTCTGCTATTACTTGGAACCACTTAAATCCTACTTTTTGTATTTAGTAAAATCACTTTTTACTTATTAATTAACCCAGAGTATGTATTAATACCTGGGGGGGCAAACAGCTGTGCATATCTCTCTATCAGTGTTATAGAGGGCGAACAATTTATGAGTTTACCCTTATACTTATACAGGGTAAAACAGATTTATTTGGGGTTTGGACCGCATTGGGAGTTGGGCATCTGAGTGTTAAAGAGAGGAGCACTTCTTAAACTGCTTTCAGTTTAAGCCTACAGCTGTTAGGGAACGTGGTTCAGACCTGGGTCTGGGTTTGCAGCAGGCTAGCGGGTCTGACTCAAACCAGGCAGGGCATTGAAGTCCCAAGCTGGGAAGGCAGGGTAAGCAGGGGCAGAAGTAGTCTTGGCACATCAGTTGGCAGCCGAAGGGGGTTTCTGTGATCCAACCTGTCACACTGGGTATGTGGGGGGCTCAGGGCTGGGGCAGAGGCATGGGCTTACCTCGGGCGGCTCCCGGTCAGCGGCACAGCGGGGGGTGCTTCCTGCCTGACCTGGCACCGCAGACCGTGCTGTGCCCCGGAAATGGCCAGCAGCAGGTCCGGATTTTAGGCGGAGGCATGCAAGCGGCTCCGTGCAGCTGTCGCCCGCAGGCACCTCCCCACCCAGCGGCCAATGTGAGTGCAGAGCTGGTGCTTGGTGCAAGGGCCGCATGCGGAGCTCCGTGGCCCCCCGGCCTAGGAGCTGGACCTGCTGCTGGCCGCTTCTGGGGCACAGCGGTATCAGAACAGGTACGGACTAGCTGCCTTAGCCAAGCAGCACCGCCGACGGGACTTTTAACAGCCCGGTTGGCGGTGCTGACCAGAGCCGCCGTGACCCAGTGCCTTACATTCCGACCCGCAGTTTGAAAACCACTGCCCTATGATAAGGTAGATAGGGAAAGCGTTAATTAGAAGCTCATTGCATATATTTTTGCACTTTTAAGGGACAAAGTTAAGTTTAGGTGGATGATATAAATAGGATGGAGTGAGAGACACCCATTGACTTCCAGGGGCTTTGGATCAAATCCTAATGGCTTTACTCTTTTAGCTCTGTGCATTAGTACCGAAGTTCCTGAATTCAAACCTTGCTGATGACTCATGAGAGGTGGCTGTTACACAACACAAAGAGCCAAATTAACCTCTGATGTAACTCCACTATATTCAAAATCAATTTAGGATGAAACAGGAGGA